CTCACGTGTCAGGTCTTAGCTTGGCTACCCTTGACTTGACCCACTACCCTCCTCGGCGAACATCGCTCACCGTGGTAACCTATCTGGTGACGTGCGTAACACATGCCCCAAACATCGTAATCTATGGAGGTTGACCACTTGCTCCAGTGGGCGACCGCGGATACTCAAAACTGGCTACACTGGCATTCCAGCTATCCAAAAATGCTTGTAACTTACCTGGATCTTCACTTAGCAGCACAAGGTCGTCTGCATAATCTAGATCAAACAGTCTGTCACCTGGGAGTAAATCACTACTTTCCTCGCACGAGCATAGGGCTGTTTCCATAATCAAATTTTTAATGAAGTTGAATAGAAAAGGAGAGAGGGCGACCCTGACGAACACCACTTTCCGTGGTGAACTCGGGCGAAAAAGTGCCGTAAGCCCGAACTCGACGTCGGCTATTAATATAAAGTGATCGTAATATTGAAATAACTTTCTTGGGCACACCCTTCAGAGAAAGGTGGCGCCAGAATTTGAAGCAGTCGGCTTAGTCGAAAGCCGCTTTCAAATCGAGATGAACATGTTGGGTCTACGAAAGGAATGTCCATGCTTCATAATTTGGCGGAGAGTGGAGATATGGTCTATACAACCGCCACCAGTTCTAAAAGCAGTCTAATTCTCACTTGCGGCAGACTGTCGTCAGAGTATGACGTCGGCGAGAAGTTCAGAAATGTTGATTAAACTAATTCCTCTGTGATTTTCACAAGAGGATCTGTCACCTTTCTTGTAGATCGGTATGATTACCGATTCACACCATTCAGCTGGAATCTCTTCCCTCTCCCACATTGAGTCAAGGAGTTTTGTTAACTCCAGAACCGAGGTTGAACCTCCATCCTTAAAAACCGATAGGGACAGCCAGTCGGGGCCGGAAACCTTAGCCCTTTTGGGATAACTTATTTCTCTGGTAGTCTCCATTTCAGATGGAGGACTAGCATCAACTGGTAGTAATTGCTCAGTCAAGGTGGAGAGTGGAAAATCAGATGTCGATGGGGGCCAGTTGAACTGATCTTTGAAGTGTTCAGCCCATCGATCAAGACGGCGCTGCCGATCGTGAATCAGTGTGCCGTCGAATTCCTTGATTACCTCACGCCTACTTTTCTGGGGCCTGTATTCCTAATTCGACGGGAAAGACTGCGACTACTGTCAACAGCCACCGTCTCGCTTCACTTTCCTACCCACCACTTCTCGCGGTCATTCTTCAGACTATTGATGAGCTGGCGTTTACGGGATTTGCGCGCAGTCATGTGACATCCGGAGGCAGGGTTCTGCGGGCGTCCAGCAGGGCAACCGAGGTCGACGAGATCCATCGTTTGTGTTTTGAACCTGCTCCAGGGTCCGACGCCGTTTTTAATGATATTCGCATAGCTTCCTTGGTTTGCCTCCAGTGTTCATTGAGTCCCGCCACAGATGGTTGAACTGCTAGACGATCGGAGAGCTCCGCTTTGAAGGCCAATTTTCAGCCATCGCGGACGCTGTATCGTGGGTATCCGTTGTCGGTGGCTCTTCTGTGGTTGTTTGCCAGGCGTAGGGAGAATTTGGCTCGTAACAAGGCGTGGTCTGTGTCCACAGCTGTTGACCAGTAAGAACGGCAGTCTTGAATTGATCCCTTCCAACGGTAACTATAGCAATGTGGTCGATCTGGGTCCAGCGTTGTGAAGAGGTTAGCGGTTTCCATGTAAGACGGTAACGGTTCTTGTGTGAGAAGTTCGTGCTTGACAAGAACAATCCGTGGTCCGCGCAGAGTTGAAGTAGGCGATCTCCGTTGTCCGTCGGCTGGGATTGCATGCGGCTCGCCAAGAAGCCTTTCTAATTCGTCCAGGGATCCCACTTGAGCATTGAAGTCTCTGGCGACTACTACGACGTCCGTTGATCGAATACTTTGGAGTAATTGAGAAGGATCCTTGTGGAATTCACCCTTGATTTCAGATGTACTGCAATCGGTCGGTGCACACACCGATACAACAAACAAGCATCGACACTCCATTCTGTAGTTGTTGACCCGTGCTGAACTGTTGAGACGTACAGCGCACAGTCGGCTACTGACTGGAATCCAGTCAGGAAGCGAGCGCTCCGCCTTGGCACTTAGCGCAATCCCAACACCAGCTACACCGCGAGCTTCGGATGCCGAATCGCCTGACAGACGAAGGGTGAAGCGTGAGGTTGAGGTTGGATCAGGAGAACGCAGAAAGATAATTGAAGTAGGGTCTTGTATGCATGTTTCGGAGACACAACACATCTAAATTGAAAGTTTCGAGGGTTCTAGCTCAGTCAGCTTGTTGATCGATCCGATAGTGTGCGGACATTGAACGCGGCTAAGTGAAAAAGGATTTTGGCTTTAAAAATCCTATAAATTCTGATTGTCTGGCCTTGATGTTAAAACGCTGATTGACATTCGATGGGTGGCGTGAACACGAGGCATCTGGGATTACTTGGGATTGAGGAGAACTAGACAGATGGGAAAGATGGTTCTCCAAATGGGTGCCTAGGGCTTGAGAGCACATCAAGCTTCGTTGCAGCCCAAACCGACGAAGGGGTTTTCCTTTGGGAACCGGAGCCTTTCGACTAGAAAGTTTGACCCACAAGCTAGTGGGGCATGAGTCCACCGCGGGAGCGTGAACGAAACACCCGAGTGGGAGCCTCCAGAGACCTGTCACGCAAGGCCTTTGAATTTCGAATAATTGTGTTGTTCTCTGGTGCATTGATTGTCGATCCTCTTTTCGGGATTGGCACTTAGCCTCATGCGCCCAATGAGACGAGCGGAACGTGGACGAGACAACACCTTATTGGCCAGGGGCTACCCAGCTTGGGTGGGCGTTAGCTGTTCAATGAAGTGCGAAGACTTCTCCCACCGTCGAGAGGAAGCCCCGGTTACCCCGCTCCCACGTCAGTGTAACGGTTTTTTTTGTCGCTAGACTACCCCTCACCGTGTTTATTTGCTGGAGTGTGGATAGGAGAAATCCGGGAGGTGCCTAAGCAGCTGGCTTTGTGAAACTGATCTTTGTCTGGCCCGTTGACTTTTCAGGCATGATTGGATCTACGGCTGTGAAAAGCCATCCGGTATAGCCCGCAGGGTCATGGAGGCACGGAAGCCATCACACCATGTCAAGGTGCAATCTCGTTGTGATGGAAGAAGTAACGGTTATCATCCGATGTTTCCATTTTGGGTGTTCTCCAATAAGTCATGTTTTTCCGTAATAACTACTGAAGAAAGTTTTTAGGGAGGCGAGCCAAATTTGGTCCGTTTGATATTTGTAATGTGATTGGTTGTACGATTAATGGGCATAGTAGCGTAATAGATCTTACGTTTAATCGTCAGACAAGCCAGAAGATAAGGCTTTATTAATATACTTTAATCGACCGAAAAACGAGTGATGTGAACTAATACGAGACAAGAAAAATGTATTATGCACACAGGATAAGAGCTATTTATACAACGGAATGTACAGTAGCAAATCTATAACATTCACCGTCTCAGAGGAAACGAGGGTTAGAAAGTTTGTTTCGAGTACCCTGTGTTCTATGAACGGGAAATGTTCACACTAAATAGTAATGTGTTGCTAAACCCCACGGTTTTGTTCGCAGTGAGGCCTCATTCTTTGTTGTTTCTACAGGTTCGAGTCCCGCCACCCAACTGTGGTGGTAGACAGTTTTGCTGTCGTCCGGTTCAATACCACGTCTAACCTATCGGGCCTCTATGTGGTTCGTTACTCCAAGTCCCGGGGCTCAGGTTACCGGTTTCCATAACGAGGCTTCAGGCCTTCCTGACTATGGGGTTCGCCCTGTCTGCTGTTCACCACACAAATGTGTAGTAAAAAAGAATGCTTTAAACGTTTATATCGTCAAGATATTCCGCCTTGTCGGACAGTATTGTTCGCGAATCGGAGATGCGTGGCGTGTCATTAGGTGGAGGTTAGTCTGGGCTAGATTCAGATAAATGGGTGGTTGGTGACGAAGTCTGTTGTTCTTTAGGAGAAAGATGACTATTGGTGACAGGTTGTAGCGTAATAGAGCTTACGTTTTTCGGTAGACAAGGCCTTATTGATGGGCTTTAATGGATCAGAAGCGAGGCATGAGA